CAACCCCCGGGCCGCAGCGGAAACATGCAATTATTAAACAGGCCCCTCCACAATATTATCTTTTCTCTCCTGGCGTCTAATCTTGGCCGGACTTCCACGAGACCTCTCTGCCACTGTTGACACCGAGAGACTTTGCCCCTAAAAGAACCACAACCGCCCGCCATTCGTAAACACGCTCGGGGAAGGGCGCGAAACTTTCTTGTGTTCAAAACGCAAGAGGGCTTGGAGAGTCCCTCTCAAATCTCGGTCCATCCGACGCTTCTGCTTGTGCACAAGGCCTCTCCTCGAATCAGCACCTATCTGCGAGTGCACGCAGATCATGACACAGGTAAGTACACTAGGACGAGGCACAACGCGGCCTGAGGATTAAAAGTACACGGGTCGGTGTTCACTCGGGTTTTCATAATTATTAGTCTCTACTGCGGTGAGTTAAATACGCGTAAATTAGCAAAAGCGACAAATGCATGGGTACAGACTGTGTAGAAAGCAAGCGTAGTGTGAGGAAGCTTTGCGGAAAGATTATGCCGCTCCCATCCATCCAGCTCAGCCTTCGGATGCAAATAACAAAGTGAGAACACCGTCGTCAAAACAGTGCGATAAAACGATCGGATGCGGAAGCATTAAGTAAGTTTAGGACAGTGAGGAATGCTGCCGCTCACCTTGAAGTCCTTCATGCGTATCTCCTGCCGGCGCGGCACGCCACTCTCGTCGTCGGCGTACACCAGGTTGCGGATCTCGCCGCCGAACCGAGGCTCGAAGATGACCGAGGGGAGCGCGAGCATGGTCAGCTTGTTGTTGTAGAAGGCGGGCATGCCGCCGACGAAAACGTCCGAATTGGAGTCGAGGTGGCCAAACTCGAACTCCTTGCCGCGGGAGGCGCGGGCCTGCGTCGCGTTGTCAACCGTCAGGGAGGTGGTGTCCCCGGCGCGCTGCACCGCCACCTTGTGCCAGTGGCCGTCGTGGAGGTCGCGGCCCTCGGTCAAGATCTGGGCGCCGCCGCCGAGGTTGTACCGCAGCCGGAGGGCGCCCTCCACCAGCTTCAGCTCGAAGAAGTCGTACGTGCCGCCGTCGTCCGTGTACAGCAGCAGGCCGTTGGGGGAGTGCGTCTTGAACTCGAGCTCCAGGGTGCCGTTGAGGCCGGCGTTCCACTTGCGGAACTGGGCGAAGGAGCGCTGCGAGCCCTCCAGCATGAAGCCGGAGCACGCCGTCGCCAAGCACGCCGCCACCAGGCACGCTGCCAGGGCGGCCGTCCTTGTCCTCGTCAACGCCTCCATGGCCGGGCCGGGAGCACTACATTCACCTCATCGTCACGCTCACGAACACTCGCGTACACACCAACACACTCGCACAGTGGCGGGGTCACCGCTCCGACAGCTCGGGCATGTCGCTGCAGCCGCCGCAGGGGCCTCCGCTACGGCCGTCCACGTGGTCCTGGCCGAGACCCGAGGGGGGAGGGAGGAGGAGGGGGCGAGGGCGCTGCAGCAGTCCAGGAGGCCCTCGTTAGCAGCGTGGGGCCCGCGGGGAGGGGTTGCGCGAACTGGCGGAGCCTTCAGGCGAGCCGTGCCGGGCACAGCGCGACCCTCTACTGTTTCAACGCGCCCCCACCCGGGCCGACCCACCACCTCCGGGC